CACTGTTAGCGTAACACACCCGCTTTAAGGACACTGACTGCTATTAAATCTATAACAGTGAAAAAAGTTTTTTGTTTTTAAATCCAAGCTGTTGTGACACCAGATCTAAGTGGTGGCACTGGTCACCATATCCACTGTTAGCGTAACACACCCGCTTTAAGGACACTGACTGCTCTTCAATCTATAACAGTGAAAAAAGTGTTTTTTGTTTTTAAATACAAGCTTTGTGTCACCAGATCTAAGTGGTGGCACTGGTCACCGTATCCACTGTAGGCGTAACACACCCGCTTTAAGGACACTGACTGCTATTCAATCTATAACAGTGAAAAAAGTGTTTTTTGTTTTTAAATCCAAGCTATTGTGACACCAGATGTAATTGGTGGCACTGACTGTGGAAATGGGCACAGTATGCACTGTGAGCCTGACACAGAAGCTGGCAGCAGTGGCAGACAACTGACTGCTATTCAATCTATAACAGTGAAAAAAGTTTTTTGTTTTTAAATCTAAGCTATTGTGACACTAGATGTAATTGGTGGCACTGACTGGGGAAATGGGCACTGTGAGCCTGACACAGAAGCTGGCAGCAGTGGCAGACAACTAAGTGCATTTACATTAGATAGAAAAAAAAAATCCAAAAAAAGCATACCCTTATCCCTAACCTAGCTATGTTTTTCCCTATCTTATGAACAGCAGCTACACTTTCCCTCCTCTTACTAAGCATGCAGCTTGAGAATGAATCTAAAATGGATGCTGTCCAGTAGGTGGGAGGGTCTGCTAGGGAGGCTGTGCTGCTAATTGGCTGGAATGTGTCTGCTGACTGTGAGGTACAGGGTCAAAGTTTACTCAATGATGACGAATAGGGGGCGGGTCGAACCGCGCATATGTTCGCCCGCCGTGGCGAACGCGAACATGCTATGTTCGCCGGCGAACCGTTCGGTACATCACTATTCACAGCCTCTTTGGACCATACCGTGCTACTAACCCCTTTGCGAGTCATATTTGTGATTGGGGCTATTACAGAAGAAAATCCCTTGATGAATCTTCTGTAATAGTTGGCAAAACCAATAAACCTTTGAATGGCTTTTAAACCAGAGGGTAATGGCCAGTGTAGTACAGCCTCTAGTTTTTTAGGATCCATTTGAAATCCCGATGCAGAGATGTTGTAACCCAAAAAGTGGACTTCAGGCTGGTCAAATATGCACTTTTCTAATTTACAATAAAGTTTATTTTTCAACAACGTCTGCAGAACCTGTTTCACATGGGAGTGGTGAGTTTGAAGATCAGGGGAATACACCAAAATATCGTCCAAATAAACCAAGACAAATGAGTAAATGAATTCCCTGAGTACATCATTTATAAAGTCTTGGAATACGGCCGGGGCGTTGCATAACCCAAATGGCATTACCAGATATTCATAGTGTCCACTACGGGTATTAAATGCCGTCTTCCACTCATGATTCTCTTTAATTCTAACCAAATTGTAAGCGCTCCTAAGGTCAAGCTTAGTAAATACTTTAGCTCCCTGAAGTCTATCGAACAATTCGGAAATGAGTGGGATAGGGTATGCATTTTTTACAGTGATTTTATTAAGTGCCCTGTAGTCTATGCAAGGGCGTAACTCACCACCCTTTTTCTCAACAAAAAAGAATCCTGCACCAGCTGGTGAGGATGACTTTCTTATGTGCCCTTTGCTCAAGGATTCTTTGATGTATTCCTCCATTATTTTACTCTCCTGAGGAGATAAGGCATAAACTGCCCCCTTAGGTGGCATAGCGCCTGGAAACAGGTTAATGGCACAGTCATATGCTCTGTGGGGAGGCAATACATCGGATTGAGCCTTGTTAAACACCTCCTGAAGTTCTCGGTATTGTATGGGAACTCCAGGAGTTTGGGGAGTGGTAGTGGGAAGGTCAATAGTATCCAATCTCTTTAGTACTGGTTTTATACATCTCCCCATACACTCTTTACCCATTCTAATATCTCCCCATTAGCCCAGTCAATATAGGGATTGTGCTTACTCAGCCACGGAAACCCTAATATGATAGGACATGATGGAGAAGTAATAACCTGAAACGTCATCTCCTCCCTATGGGAGGCCCCAATGGAGATCGTAATAGGGACAGTTTCGTGGGTTATAAGCGGTTGTGTGAGTGGTCTACCATCAATAGCCTCTACAGCTAGCGGCGTAGGTCTCTCCCTGACCGGTATCTCATTACCCCTAATAAACTGGACATCAATAAAATTTCCAGCAGCACCTGAGTCCATTAGGGCACTGCAAGAAAACTTCTTGTTATCAAGGGAAATAGATACCTCAAGGAGGAATCTACTTTTGTTTTTGTTAGAGGACAACTCCATCACACCTAAGATCTGTCCCCTTAAGGTTCTTAGGTGTGGAAGTTTTCCGGACGCAATGGACAATTAGTTATCATATGTCCCTTTCTACCACAATATAGGCATAACCCCTCCCTTCTCCTATACTGTTTTTCGGCCTCTGACAGTCTAGTGACCCCCAACTGCATAGGTTCGGGTTCGGACTGTACAGGGAGGTTAGACAAAACAGGTTTAGAGAATTGAGGTGCTAGGGACATAGCCGTACTTCTGGTCTTGCTTCTGGTGACTTCTCTGAGTCTTAACCTATTATCAATATGCATGACAAATGTAATAAATTCGTTAAGACTCTTAGGTAATTCTTCAGCGGCTATCTCATCTAGTATAGTCTCTGAGAGACCCTTTTTGAATGCTGAGATTAACCCATTGTTAGTCCAGTCTACCTCGGAAGCTAAGGTACGGAATTCAATAGCATAATCCGAGATAGACCGGTTACCTTGTCTGATGTGCATTAGGGCAGTGGAGGCGTCATCCTCTCTACCCAATGGCTCAAACGTGAGCTTGAATTCGGCAAGGAATTCCTGGTAATTATGAGCTATGCTCCGATTACTCTCCCACAACGGATTAGCCCAGGCAAGGGCCTTGCCCTTTAATTGATTCATTAGATAACCAATTTTTGCTCTGTCCATGGGGAATGACCCTGGTGAGGCCTCAAAATGGTACTCCACCTGATTAAGAAAACCCCTGCATTCCTGGATATTGCCATCAAACTGTAGGGATGGTGATAAGGAGATGCAAGGAGTCCTATTAACAGTGGGTGGAGGTACACAGGGTAGAGGTGCTATAGGAGGAGACGCTGCAGGCTGCAGATGCTCCGTTCTAGCGAGAAGCGTACTTAAAGCCTGAGTGAATTGATCCATGCGGTGATCATTCTCCTCTAATTTCCTCTCGCAAGCAGCTATGTGCTGACACAGTTCTACAGGATCTATGGCCATGTCGTAATGTCAGGATTACTGTTTGATCCAGCACGTAGAACTGTACAGCACGGATGACAAATAAGTAACGTATTACCGGTCCTTAGAATGGCCGGATTTAACGTACAAAGAATAGTCAAAAATACTAGCCGAGGTCAGGGAACACAGAAAGGGACACAGCGATGAGGAAAGCCAGGAGTCAGGATACCAGAATATAGAGAAGTCAATAAACAAAGCCAAAGTCAAAAACCAGGTAGAAAACTATAAACAGGAACGCGCTCTCGGACAACCACAAGGGAAACCACGACAGGGCACTGAGCAGGCTGAGAACTGGGCCTAAATACCCCTCCTTTCTTTCTGATAGGCTGTAACCGGCCTTTGACCCCAAAGTCAGTTACCAGGTTTCATTTGCATAATTGCTGCTCAGCATTAACCCTTCTGTGGATTAGGTTGCTGCTCGGCACAACTTTTCCTGTGTGGACAGTAAATGTCATTAACCACATTTCTATAAGCGGATGAATACGTGACACAAGGCCCATAGAAGGCTGGAACGTTCATCCGAGGTGCAGAGAGAACTTCGGTTGTGGACTGCCATTATGTGTGGGATCATATGTCTGATATGCAAATGTTACAGGCTTTCTTTGAAATGACACAAGTGGGCAAAAACTTTGCGACCAGAGCGGGGACTAACTGAAGGGCAAGCTACTGAGTTTCTCTGCTTTTGTCCATTCTCAGGGTTCTCATATTCTCTGCCTTTGTTGTAATTTATAAAAGTGACAATTTCTATTGAAATCTGCACTTTTTCTAAAATGAAAAAAGGATATGCTCTTCACACATGAAGCACTTCAGCTAGTTGTGTGGAGGAGGCTCAGAATAGAAAGAGATTAGAAAGCCTATAAAAACCAGTTAAGAGTTGTACAATCGTGTTGTAAAATGTCTTGCTACGGTAAGGGGAAATCTATCAATTGGAAATTAAAGGGACACTGCATCTCATCTCACCAAAGTGGTTATATTGTTTGGAGTTCCCAGGCACTAACTGATAATGATAAATTTAATGCCAATCATCCTCTCTGTGCTTTATTGGCTAATGAAGAACCATTAGCCTGAGCAGCAATGGGAGGCTGTGATAGACTGAGTGTCAGCTGACTGTTTTTAGCCTATCACAGTGATCATTGCTGGCATGAATTGCTATGGCTAGAAGGAAGTATATAATCTCTGCCTTAGCTATACCTCTAGTGGGGCTGGGCTGTGGTTGGCCAGAGACCCTCATTCAGGGTCTTTATCAAACTGCTTAAAAATATTTTAACACTGAAAGAAGGAATAGTGCCAGGGAACTTCAGGCACCATAAATCAATTCAATGAGATTAAATGACTGTTTACTCCTCAGTGGGGAATCATATTGGAATTTGTGTAGCTGGTGAAAAAGCTCTTAAATGTTAAGATCTTAGTGTTAAAGTTGGCATGTCCCTTTAAATACTTTATGAATATTCATCCACAAACATGAATTCAATTGCCTTTAATTAAATATAACCCAATGGGTTTTTTTTTTTTTTTACTTCGTTTTACTTACTGGGAAGTTTGCAATTTCCTCTTTACAGTCATAGAATCTGTTAAATAAATTTTATAGAGGTATAAACCATTAGTGATTACTCAATGTATTTTGACTCACGATTATTCAGAATTTGCTAATGTGATGTACACGATGTAACATGCAGCAGTTATGACAGGGTAAAACAAATTAAAAAAAGGAAATTTAAAAAAAGAAATTAAATACCTTGCTCTCAGATATTTAAATTTCATAACTCTTTCTTTAAATTTCACGATCAGCTAGGACAAATTACAGTGATGATCCTGCATAAAGCACATATGGGTAAAATTGCATGTTATATAGTTACATTGTAGGGGTGAAAAGTAAAATACACAATAAGGGATATGTGTGTTAGCAGTAACTGCTAAAGAATTCTAAAAAAATACATACAGTAGGTGGAACACACATCTGATGATTCTACCAAGAAATGCAAAGCTTCTGGACTAGTTCCTATCTGCTCTCTTGTGGAGCTTTTACTAATCGCGGTTTTTGGATCGTTTCTACTTCCAAGTTCTGGGGGAAGGGGGATTTGGCTTCTCTCCCATAATTTCTATAATCTCTTGAATTCTGAGGAGATCTACTATTTGTTCTTTGTGGGTCTTGTCTCACCACATCACTGTAACTTCTGTCTGGATGATAGTGTGAAGAAATTCTGGCTTGAGGTTGTTTGTTCCTTGGAGGAGGGTCTCTTGTTGGTAACTCCTTGTGGGATATAGTTTTCACGGGGTTGCTATCATGGTAGCTTTTGCTATTATATTTTTGAACATAGTTGGTTTTGGGTTCTTCTCGTGGCTTCCATTGTTCTGTTCTTCTATTTCGATTACGAACGGCCGAGTTGGTATGAGATCTTTTTGGAAATCTTACATTGCCTGTTTTATAATCATTGGTGTCTCAAATATTTCTCTTTTTTACATTTTTTTATTTCAAAGGTTTCTTTTTCTGCTTTCTCAACTTTTATTTTAATATCTTTTATTATTTGATTATATGTTTCTGGATTTGTTGCCTCACAAACCAGTCCTCATGGCCCACCAACAGTCCAGGATTTATGTATTTCCCTGTTTTATTCCAATGAAGATACTAACAAAACCTGCACTGTTGGTGGGTCATGAGGACTGGTTTGAGAACCACTGAATTGTAGTGATATCCTCATCTATCTGTATATGGTTCTCTTCCCTTCTAGATACGATGTAGCCTATCATACTGAATTCAAACCCTTCAAGTAGCTTATTCCAACCTGTCATAAAGCATTGGTCTTCTCTATCAAAGGCTGGAGAAAGGTGAGTGTTTAACCCCCTTCCTCCCCCTTCAGCCCAGTGGGGGGTGGGACCCTGAGGGTGGGGGCACCCTCAGGGCACTATAGTGCCAGGAAAATTTGTTTGTTTTCCTGGCACTATAGTGGTCCTTTAACTGTATAGTTTGTATTCTCTAAATAGGAACCTGGTACTCTATGAAGACCAACGTTTGAACCCACACTGTGTAAAAGAGTATTAAAGGGTATTCTGCATTTTACATCCTGCATAAAATCATACCACTCTCAGGCCTCATCTCACACTCAAACTCAGTGAAGCTCTGCATTTAACATCCTGCAGAAAATCCCACCACTTTCAAGAACTGACTGAAGCTTGGATGAAACTCCACCCCATTTACTCTTGCATTGTTACCATATTATCTTGTGTTATTATAGAATTCTTACCACTTATACCTATAGTTTGCTACTGTAATTTTCTGTGCATGCAGTTTGTACTATTGTCATATAATATTTCTTACCAATATTTCATGTACACAGTTATTCATATTTTGGGCGATTGAATTTGGTTGCTAAACTTTTTTTTTTTATTCTATACAACACACGGCTAGTCTACCCTCACCCTCTTTACTATGCTCCTCCTAGCTTTAAATACCTTCATATAACTGTTCAATCTCCATCTCTGTTCTACAGGCCTCATCTCACACTCAAACTCAGTGAAGCGCTGTATTTTTTCTCACCCCGCATACCCTGGTTCCCCCTAAATATGTAGCATGTTCCACCAGCTTTTTGAGATTCTCACTCAGTTACCTCTTCATTCCCTTTATATTTTACCAATAGCTGCTTCTCTCTCTTAACTCTTTTAGCCATCACTTCCACATTTCCCCATCTACCTCTTGTCTCAAATCACCATTGTATCCTTTAGATTGTAAGCCCACGGGCAGGCCCGGACTGGCCATCGGGCACACCGGGCAAATGCCCGGTGGGCCGCGGTGGCCATGGGCCGATGCCGGCAGGGGAGGTCCCAGGATCTCCCCTGCCGGTCTATGCAGGGCCGGCGCTATCCGAGCGCCGGCCCCGCTGTTTGCCATGACGGGCCGGTGGGGAGATCAAGGATCTCCCTGACCGGCCCAAATGCGGCCGCCGGCGGGGGGGGAGGGAGCCAGCCAGCCAGCCAGGCTGGAGAGAGGACCCGGCGGAGCTCTAACTTGCAGCTCCGCCGGGTTCCTCTCGCGAGATCCGGCGCGTTGCCATGGCAACAACCGGATCTCGCGAGAGTGAACTCTAGCCTCACAGGCTAGAGTTCACTCACCCACGAGGACCACCAGGGAACACCGCCACCCCGCCTCCCAGCGTGCCGGACCCCACATCCCAGGCTAAAGGTAAGAAGGGAGGGGGGGGGACATAGTGTCTGTTTTTTTATTTACCCCCCCCCTACACACACAATAACATTTATACAGCACTCTCTCACACCCATCACACACAGCACTCTCTCACACAGCACTCTCACACCCATAACACACAGCACTCTCTCACACAGCACTCTCATACAGCACTCTCACACCCATCACACTCACAGCACTCTCACAGAGCACTCACACACACAGCACTCACACACACAGCACTCTCTCACACAGCACTCTCACACCCATCACACACAGCACTTTCACACACACAGCACTCTCACACACAGCACTCTCTCACACAGCACTCTCACACCCATCACTTTCACACACACAGCACTCTCTCACAGCACTCACACCCATCACACTCACCGCACTCACACACACACAGCACTCTCTCACACCCCTCTCACACAGCACTCTCACACGGCACTCTCACACGGCACTCTCACACCCATCACTCTCACACCCATCACACACACCGCACCCCTCACATACGCACAGAACCCCCCAACACACTGCACCACACACATACACAATACTTCCAAATATATACACACACACACTACACTCTTAAAGGACCACTCTAGCCACCCAGACCACTTCAGCTTAATGAAGTGGTCTTGGTGCCAGGTCCTTCTAGGGTTAACCCATTGTTTTATAAACATAGCAGTTTCAGAGAAACTGCTATGTTTATCAATGGGTTAAGCCTTCCCCCAAAGCCTCTAGCAGCTGTCTCATTGACAGCCGCTAGAGGCGCTTGCGTGCTTTTCACTGTGAAAATCACAGTGAGAGCACGCAAGCGTCCATAGGAAAGCATTATAAATGCTTTCCTATGCGACCGGCTGAATGCGCACGCAGCTCTTGCCGCGCGTGCGCATTCAGCCGACGGGGCGGATCGGAGGTGGAGAGCTCCCCTCCTGGCGCTGGAAAAAGGTACGTTTTAACCCCTTTCCAGAGCCGGGCGGGAGGGGGTCCCTGAGCCACATATGCATCACATTACACAACAAACACAACACGACTAAAACCGACCTTATTACACAATACCACACCACGACCAGCTCACTCTACACACACGCAATACCACAAGCAGGCTCCAAACACATGCACAATACTCTTTCCTGGCCTTTTGTCTCCTGGTATCCATTTATAGAGACACCAGAGACAAGTAGCAAGGAAACACAGTGCAAGCATGTTATTAAATTTGCTTGCACTGTGCAGAACAAATACAGGACTTTTTTCTCATGCTAGAGCTCTTCAGCAGAGCTCTGCGCATGGTCTGCCCTGGAAGAGCATTGAACCAACATGCTCACTTTGAGAGGAGGCGTGTTTGTCATTGGTGATAACAAAACACACCTCCTCTGCCCCGCCCCCTTTTTAGTGGGCCGCTGTGTTAAAAAAATGCCCGGGCCGAATTTTTCTCCCAGTCCGGCCCTGCCCACGGGCCATCTAGCTAAGCACTTTGTATAAAAGAGCTCCAATAGCTAGATATCGGCTTACGTGCAGGCCTCTTTCTCTACCTCTTGTATTTGTCTGTGAATATTGTAGGTTCTCCACTAATTGTACAGCGCTGCAGAATCTGTAATAATGGATGCAATATACAATAGTGAAAATTGAAATACACAATAATGTGTATGTGTGTTAGCAGTAACTGCTACAAACCACCTGAGTGGGGACCCCTTATAACACTCTAAAGTTTTCTAAAAAAATACATACAGTAGGTGGAACACACATCTGATGATTCTACAAAAGAAAACAAAATAAAATAGTGCAATATTGCCAGTATAAAATATTATAAAAGTGCTGTAGATATCAGGTACTCACAAACATGGAGCCAAATCTCAGCATATGGCTCTCATGGGTAACGCAGAGGGACTTTTAATAGGATGTCCCCATCCTTCTTCCAGCTGATACTTGTGTAGCCTTTATGGATTTTGGAGTAATGATGAGATTCTCACTTATTATATGGATAAACTTTTTTATATGTTCCATACCCTATAGATGGCTTTTCATTTACTATTAACATTGCACTATTCTGTTATACTGATATTTTTTTATATTTTTGCTCATCAAATATATACATTTCTATTGAATATAGAGACATAAGGTCTAACACCGCGATTTCTGTGGACGAATAAAATACCACAGTAGAACGCATACGTCATACGGCATGCATTCCAGTGACGACCACTCTGCGTTTCAACGACGCAAGTCACGCAACCTGGAAGTGGAGCACATGACATGTGAATTGGAACGCACAATGCGTTCCAAGTGCGCACAACCTGACCCGGAAGAGCCCATAATAAATTATTTAAAAAGACGCCAAGGAGGCTCCTCCAACATACACCGACTGAGTAAGTACCCACCGTAGCGCGAAACGCGTTTTTTTT